CTTTCCTACAAAAGTTTGGTCAGAGATATTATGCCATCTGGGGTTCTCTGTTTATTCAATTTCACTTCCTTCCTCAAGTAACAAAATGCTTAGAGCATTGTGTCTGTGCCTGCTGCTCAGACATATGACCTGTGCAAGTGGCTGATGGAGCGCACAAGACTTCTGAGACCCAGTACTCTGAAGGCAGAGCTGACAGATACGAGGTGCAAGCCTAGCTTCGCCAGGTTAAATATGGCTATGAAGGGAGCATACCCAGTTCTACTGGCATCAAAGCACAGTGCTGATTGCCAAAGAGTCTACCAGAAAGAAATATTAAGTAATACTGCACTTCTGACATTGACATGAGTTTATTATTCTTCCATGCTAACACACCCTAATCCAAAGCTTATGCTATTCCAATCCAGGCCTGACCTAAAACAGCCAATTATACTGAATGTGATCAAAACTGTACGGAGTCTCCAGTCCAAAGACAATGTTCCATTAGCCCATCAGCTTCTGTATTATTTCCACATTTTGAGTTGGTTCCTGAATTGTGTGCATCACTTCTTAAAGGATTATTTCTCTTTCACACTGGAGGTATAGTGGTATTCGTGCCCCTTCACTACGTTGCCAGTGGTTTTATTTCCTCCCCAAATGTATTGGTAAATACTCAGTGAAAAAAAAAAACTTGAAGCTAAACAACCTCTCCAAATACACATGAAGTATTTTCAAATCCATTATCTGCATGTTTTAATTAAGTGGTATTGTGATCACATTTTCCAAGGGAGCCATAATACACAACAGGCTTTGTTCTAGAACTTCCTTTGAGTCTGGCTGTAGGGGAAAGACAGAAATTTTGCAAAATATTCACATCATGAAAGTGCCTTCCCAAAATCATTACTGAGAAAATTGTTGCCATTCATTTCTCAAGAATGAGAGAGCTTAGTCTCAACTCCTGATTCAGCAATTGTGGTGTTCTTCTTCAATTCACTTTCACACATGGAGTCATCATCATAAACTTCAGAGCCAAAGGAAAATGAAGCTTATTCTCTTAATCTGCAGTAACTATTTTATTCTATTTTCCTAAAGACAAAAAAACTTGTATCTAGGTTGTATGACCTTGGGCAAGCCTACCATAAGCCTCAGTATCCCTGGGGTTAGTAACTATACTTGCTTCACAGGGTTATGGTAAAGAGTAAGTAAATAGGGCACATAATGAGTATAGCAGAGTGTCTAGCATACAGTGTTCAACCTAAGTTCAATAAACATCAGCTTTTGTTATCACTTTCTGCTGGGATTTTACATGAAAAGTCTTCTTTTGAATTCTTAGTATTGCTACAAGAACTGCCACTGTAACTATTTCTCTGTTAAGTCTCACCTGCCCTAGAAAGTCCTTGATTCAAACGGTCCTTAGTCATCTCTTCCCAGCCCTCTTCTAATTATCTATGTCAATTAGCTGGAGCTGCAAAGTAGGGAGACAGTGACCAGGGCCTTATCTGTAAAGACCTTGACAGAAATAAATAACATGATCTATCAGATCACCTTACTGTTGAGAGTAAAGATAGAAGCCACGGAGGATGGGAACATTGGCTTCATGGGCATGCAACTTATATAGATGCAGAAGGCCCACACTCAGAAAGGCCCCATGCTTGGTTTAATGCTCTGTTACTAACATCCTGATAAATCTCAATAAAATTCGAACAAGGAGCATCACATTTGCATTTTGCACCGGGACCTACAAATTATATAGCTGGTTGTGACTGGAGAGTTTTGGTCAGAGAGTGGTAAGAATTGTTTTCTGTTTTAAAAGGATTACTCCAGCTTCTATGTTAAGAACAGCCTGTACAAAAGGTAAGGATAAAAGCAGGAAAAATAGCTAAGATACTGTCGATATAAACAAGGTGAGAGGTACTGGTGACAAATGACACCAAGAGGAGGGCCAGTTAGATTCCATTTGCCTGTAGCGGTAGCATGGGTGTCTGGCAACATGCCTGTCTATGGCAGGGTTCTGGCCAGCCAGTTCCTGCTTCCTCCTACTAGTTCCTGCCCAGTTTCCATGCTGCCTGCTTGTTAATCTAAAAGCCCTATATGTTTCCAATACACTTTCTTTTTCTTAAAAGAGCAGGAGTTGGTTTCTCTTCTTGCCTACACTTTTCATTGGGGAAGGCAGGGGACCCTATGGTCCCACCAAAACTGTACACAGTAGCAAACAGTAATTCTACAAATTACTGAAAGAAGGGAGTAAAGAAGAACCTTAATGAGATAAAGCATCTTCTGTGTTAAGTAACTGTATTACAACTTATTATATATTCTCTGATTCCAATTAAGTACTGGGTGTAAACATAACCCCTCCCCCACTAAAATTTGTATGTGTGTGACAGGATAGGAGCTACTAAAGTTTATGTAAATAAAAAATGCATCTAAAATACCTTTAAGACTCATAAAACACCTACAGCCAGCATAATACTCAACAGTGAAAAGTTGAAAACCTTCCCACTAAAATCCAGAATAAGACAAGGATGCCTACTCTCACCATTTTTATTCAATATAGTATTGGAAGTTCTAGCCATAGCAATTAGACAAGAAAAAGAAATAAAAGGGATCCAAATTGTAAGAGAAGAGGAAAATTGTCACTATATGTGTATGACATGATACTATATACAGAAAACCCCAGAGGCTCCACATAAAAACTACTGGAGCTGATAAAAGAATTTGGCAAGGTAGCAAGATACAAGATTAATATATAGAAATTAGCTGCATTTCTTTACACTAACAATGATATATCAGAAAAGGAAAGTAAATAAACAATCCCTTTTTAAATTGCATACCAAAAAAAAAATACTTAGGACTAAATCTGACCAAGGAAGCAAAAGATTTATATGTGGAGAACTACAAAACACTGACTAAGAGGATTAAAGATGATTTAAAGAAATGGAAAGATATCCCATGCTCTTGGATTGGAAGAATTAATATTGTTAAAATGGTCATACTACCCAAAGCAGTCTACAGATTTAACGTGATCGCTATCAAATTACCCCTGATGTTTTTCACAGAACTAGGACAAATAGTCCATTTATATGGAATCACAAAGACCCAGGATTGCTAAAGTGATACTGAAGGAGAAGAATGAAATTGGAGGAATAACCCTCCCAGACTTCATGCAATGCCACAAAGCTACAGTAATCAAAGCAGTGTGGTACTGCCACAAAACAAGACATATGGATCAATGGAACAGAGCAGAGAGCCCAGAAATAAACCCACAGACATACGATCAATTAATCTGTGGCAAAGGAGGCAAGAGGCAAGAATATACAATGGAGAAGACAGTCTCTTCGGCAAGTGGTGTTGGGAAAACTGGACAGCCACATGTAAATTAATGAAGTTAGAACACTCCCTCATACCATACACAAAAATAAACGCAAAACGGCTTAAGGACTTAAATATAAGACAAGATACAATAAATCTCCTAGAAGAAAACATAGGCAAAACATCTTCTGACATAAATCTTAGCAATGTTCTCCTAGCGCAGTCTACCCAGGCAATAGAAATAAAAGTAAAAATATACAAATGGGATCTAATTAAACTTATAAGCTTTGCACAACAAAGGAAACCGTAAGTAAAACAAAAAGACAACCTATGGAATGGGAGAAAATATTTGCAAAAGATGAGACTGACAAGGGCTTAATTTCCAGAATATATAACCAGCTCATACAACTTAATAATAAAAAAACAAACAACCCAATCCAAAAATGGGCAGAAGACCTAAACAAGCAATTCTCCAATGAAGACTTACAAATGGCCAATAGGCACATGAAAAAATGCTTAATATCACTAATGATTGGAGAAATGCAAATCCAAACTACAATGAGGTATCAAATCACAGTAGTCAGAATGATCATCATTAAAAAGTCCATGAACAATAAATGCTGGAGAGACTGGGGAGAAAAGGGAACCCTCCTACACTGTTGGTGGGAATGTAGTCTGGTGCAGCCGTTATGGAAAACACTTACCATATGAGCCAGCAATCCCACTCCTCGGCATATATCCAGAAAGAACCTTAATTCAAAAAGATACATGCACCCCAATGTTCATAGCAGCACTATCTGCAATAGCCAAGATATGGAAACAATCTAAATGTCCATCAACAGATGACTGGATAAAAAAGTTGTGGTATATGTATACAATGGCGTACTATTCAGCCATAAGAAATAATAAAATAATGCCATTTGCAACGACATGGATAGACCTAGAGATTGTCATTCTAAGTGAAGTAAGCTAGAAAGAGAAAGAAAAATACCATATGATATCACTTATATGTGGAATCTAAAAAAAAAAAACAACACAAACTTATTTACAAAATAGAAATGGACTCACAGACATAGAAAACAAACTTATGGTTACCAGGGAGGAAGGGAGTGGGAAGGGATAAATTATGAGTTTGAAATTTGCAGATACTAACAAACATATATAAAATAAATAAACAACTAGTTCATACTGTATAGCACAGGGAACTATATTTAGTATCTTGTAGTAACTTATGGTGAAAAAGAATATGAAAATGAATATATGTATGTTCATATATGACTGAAGCATTATGCTGTACACCAGAAATTGACACAACATTGTAAACTGACTATACTTCAATAAAAATATATATATTAAAAAAAAAACACTGCTCAACTCTCAGTAAGGAATAAGGAAAAATTAACTAAATTTTAGACTTTTTATTACTTTAGATTTATATCTAAGTTTGTAAAATTATCTGCATGCTTAAGCTGGCAAAAGAAAAAAAAATCACTATTTAGTTTTCAGGTAATCAAACAGAAAATTCATCAGGCCATGCTAAAAATGCTATGTTACAACCACAAGTCAGTTACATATCAGTAAGTTTAAAGTTTACACTCCCTAATCCAAAATTCTTGAATAATTTCTTCTTTTCCATATGCCCAAAAGTTTCTCTGAAAAGACAAAACATGGGTGATACCAATTCTCAACCTGAAGGGCTTACGTCAGTTACTCACCTTTTTCTGAAGAACATTAATTTTCCTTTCCTTCACTTCTAACATATCCTTCATGTCACGAATCTCTCCAGCCAGTGTACCCTTCTCTTCCGTGAGGTCCTGCAGCTGTTTCGTTTTTTTATTGAGAAAAGATTCTTTCTCTTCTAGTCGTAATCTCAGTGCATCTACCTGAGATTAGGAAAAAGAAAGAAGGTTGCGGTTTACTCAGAGGTTATCAGTAACCATCAGTCCTGCCCTGGGAGGAGGATGGGGCAGCAGTATGCCTTCTGAGCACAGCATGATCAAACACTGCTCATGGGTACTTCCATGCTAGGCATTTTAACAGCCTACACTAAACCACCTTAAAGTCCTGTTGCATGTATGCCTGAACAGTGAAGTACTTTTTTAAAGTATAAGGTTTATATGAAATAAGACATTATAAAATAGTACTTCTCCATGTTGTGAAACCAAAAGCTGAGAAACAAAGCACATTAATTCTCCATGTCTTTGGGAGCCCAGGGTGGGTACAACACTGCTCATGCTGTGCAGTATCTTCCAGGAATATGGAGAACACAATGAGCCATGCCACGGACATCTGGGAGAACAAGACTGACACGTAGAGAAACACTCCTAAATTACAAAAAGACATGTTGCCAAGAGGAAGCAAATGCTGCTAGAGGAAGAAAATGCTGTGGAAATGACACTCATTTTCCAGCTTTATGAAAGACTGCTTTCCAAATACTAAAGAAAAAAAAAGACAAAGCATGCAAAAAAAAATCCTATTTCTATCTTAGCTCAAAATTATATCTTATTATAATTCCTGCTTTTCAAATGTTGGTAAGAGGAAACATAAATTTTATTTTTTTAATGTTAACATTTCAAAAATAATTCCAAAAAATGTGCAAAAAAAGTTTACATGGGTGATGTGGGCGATTGGGGTGATGGAAGACTTTAATCCTCACTCTCCGTAACAGAAATTTGATTGATAGTAGCTACGTCAACCATCAGGAAATAACAATGCAAGGATGTTATTCAGAGATATCAAAATAACCAGGCATAAAGAGTTAAAACAGGTGGTCTTGAAGAAGAAGAAATGGGACAGGGGTAAGTTGGAGGCTGTTCCATCTCACAGCAAATCTTGTTGAACATTTTGCTCATTATACTACTAGTAAAATTTGGATTAAAAGGAAAAAAGATTAAAGTTTTTTTTTTAAGTATGTAGGAATACCGTAATAAGCCAAAACAAACAGACACGTAAATACTACAAGGACATGGAATCAAAAGGCAACTTGGAACAATGGAAAGAGGGCACTTAGGTTTTAGGCCAGGTTCTACTTCTATCTGCCTGTGAGTATCAGGACAATAATTCTCACTTCCCCACACCCAGCCTCCCAGCCTCAGTTTCTTCATTCATAAAACAAACAGATACGAACAGATCATCCCTAAGTGCCTGACATTTTATGATTTTAAAGTCAGGAATCAGTCTTAGGCAGAATGCATCAGGGAAGGATAATGATAGTAGAGATAAAAAAGTAATTGAGGTTGAATCTCCTATTCTCACCCCCAGAGAAAGGGCTGCCAAAGTTGTGTTTTTAAAGGTCAAAGGTGATGGGTAGGTGAGTGAGGAGAGTGTTTTTCCAGTTTCTGTCCCAGAGAGGAGGATGAAGCTGGGAGGTCCCAGCAAGGGAAGAGGGGACGACGAGTGCCTGAATTCCTGTTGGCAAAATGATCCTGAGTGCATTATGAGAAAGAGAGGACATTCCGTGCCTGCAGAAGGTAAGAACTGCAGATTCTTCAAACATCTGATAGCTATGGCTCTTCTGACATACTGGCGGTAGAGATCTAGGGGTTGGGAGGTGAAGGAGATATTCATGCCTACTCCTAAATGAAAATTCATGCCAGTTGCACTAAGGCTTAAACATCCCAGATTCTAAAGTGGCCTATCTTTGTTTAAAGTTATTTTCATCTACCAACCTGGAATAACAGCAATACTTCTCTTTGGGTTTTCATTTTACCTGATGAAAAAATATGATCTTTAGTTTATACATAAAGGATGGCATTTAGTGGGTTCCTTGGAAACTGACAGAACATGTCGAGCACTCGAGATTATAACAGTGGTTAGAAGGGGTTACATTTAATTCTAGAGATTTGCACACAGGCTGACAAGGACTCTGTAAATCTGAGAAGAAACTGTGGTCCCATTCTAGCTATCAAAGATGGATGCTCTATATCTGGACCAAAGGAAATGCCCAATATCCAAAACTGTGATATAAATAAATTACAATATGGGAGGTAGCGAGTGGTGCTGCAGAGAGTTTAGAAAGAGAGACTCTGTATTGGTAAATAATAAGCTTAATATTTCTAGCATCTTCTCACCATGTGTGATCTATCAGTGCCCTGCCCCAGTTTACTGAGCCCAGAAGAGATAAAAAGCAACCCTAGCTGTAAGAATATTTTTCTAGGAATAAAATAGAGAGTAAGGATGGTCGTGATCAACACACTACTCACAACACCCAAACTCTACATGGCAAGAGGCAGTCTGTGCCAGCTGAGGTCTTCTGTTTGGCAGTTTATTTTCCATATACCCAAAAGCATGTACTTAGCTTCAAAGGAACTTGAATTGTGTCCTTCAATCACCTTCACTCTATCTTTACAGCTTTGCACAGTTTCCTAGAATCAAGAAACGAAGCTTAAGGATCCTTTTTTTTAAGACAAAACTTTGACCTGAATTGCATCCAATTCTCAACCAACATTAGCCCAGTTTGCAGTAAGCAAGTATGACATCATTTCTAAAGTCAAATTTTAACTTCCAGATGGTGCAAAACCACAAGCAGGCGCACAGGCTTTCTGATGCACAGAAGTTTAAATACAGGGAAGATCAGGCCAGAAAGAATATAGTCTATTAAAAATTAGAATCTGTAGTTCCAAACTGAGTATCAATTTGTAGGATTGAAGTTCCTCTCACTAACATTCAAACTTTACTAGACAATGCACATCATGTTTAAAAGAATCAGAAAACCCTTGAAGTTTAGGCTATATTCCAACATCAGGTAGAGACATAAAAGTTAAAATGTTTGGGAATATGAAATACCTTTCTCTGCCTCTTCACTCAACACCAAATAATTTTAAGAGCCCTTGACTCTCTCTCTTAAACTTTGGCAGTTGACTCAGTAATAAAACTTGGCAAAGCAAAGAACACCATCATTTCCCAGAAAAACAAAAGAAAATTAGAACTGTATGATATAGTCAGGGCCCAAAGAGCCACAGGTTTAATTTCCAATTTTTACATGTGACTTAACTGCATGGGGACCAGTCACCGGAAGGAAAAATTGGGACAATCTTTTCATTTTAGGTGAATTACTCACTTCTTCCTGATCCAGTTGTGCATATATCTGTGTGTGTATGTTAAAGAGCATGTAACATATGAAAATTTAACCTTTTATCTGGCAGTATAAAACATGAAACACTTGTTATCACTTCAGTTCCAGGTATTAACTTGAAAGAAAAGGACCATGGCAATGAAATTGGCAAAAATTGCCAAAATCAGAGTTAAACATTATTAATCTTCATGTCAGCACCCAGGAATTATAACCAATTCCAATGGTGAGGTATGTTTCTAGAAGTCCTATACATAAGCCTTCTGACCTTTCTTTCATATTTTACATTGGCCTTCACAAATGGTTTCAATGTTGTGACAAAATACCAAGTGCTACTTGATGTGCCATAAATAATTTTTTAATCAAATGGTTCATTTCAACCTTAAAATGACTACAGCAACACTTGAGAGAAAAAAAAAACACTTGAGAAAGAAAAAGGGGCCACTTGGAAATTTTCACAGATTAAATACTACTTACTTGACAACACTTCAGGCATTGAATAAACATGCTATCACAAAGAACAACTTAAAAAGAAAAAGAAACTGGAACACACACAAACGCTTCCAATATAGTTTTACTTCCCATTCAAAGTTTCATTTGTTTGTTTTTCCTAATAGTAGACTTGGGTTAAGAGTATATTTGAATTTGATTCAACTTGCAATCATTCAAATGGGGAGAACGTTTCAAAGTTGTAAGTATGCATAATGTACACAGCCTCCAAAGACACAAACACTAAAAATAACCTAAAACCTAAAACTTGCTGTGGTAAGTAACCACTAGTTCTCACTCACATTCAATTCTCCTTTCCTTCCTGAACACAGGGATGATTTCCTTTCCCAGCCCCCTTGTGGGAAGATGGGGCCATGTGTTTTATTCATGAAATGTAAGCAGAAACAACATACATCACTTCCTGCCTGTGTCATCCCCATACCTTTCCCTTCCTCAGAGATCTTGAAGGTAGAGCTACAACATGGCAGAACCTCCATAAATCGGGATCTTCAAGTGACCAGGAGAAGCAGGATAACCTCCAACCTCCTCTCCTACCATCCCCAACAGGGGTTCGACTTCCAGTACGATGTGTTAAACCACTCATCAATTATTATAATAATTTGCTTTGGTTTTGCTAAAAAGTGGGCACCTTAAAACTAGAAAGGTTTGTCTTAGAGGTTACCATGAACCTGAATGAAATAGGGCCATTGTACCTCCCTCTGCTCTTTCTATGTGTAAGACCTCAAAATCTACTTTTCCTAGCCTTTCACCCCAAGTCCAAAGAAGGAGGAAAAGGGACAGAAAGTAAAGGACAGAACTAAAAAGAAGTAGCAGAAGCCTAGGGAGTTAACACAGAAGTTAAAGATCAAGACCTTGGGGAGAAGAGAGAAAAAGATCGAAGAGGAAGAGTCTCCTTAAGTGCATGGATATGAACTTCAGATTTTATCAAGTGACTCAAGCAGACAAACCTGTTTTGCAGTCTCTGCATTGCAAATATAGGTGTTCAAGCAACTCGCGGCAGTGGCCATGGACCTACCCACAGGCCTTCCAAATATCAGTGAACAAAATTAAAGTGTTATAACCAAAATGAGGATAATGAGACAACCTCATTCATCAAGTTATTTTAAGGATTAAATTAAATAACATATGTAATGCACTTAGCACAGTGCCTGGCACCTAGACACACTCAATAAATTTTTTGCTATTGTTATTATATTTTATTTTTCTGCTTTCCACAGCCTCTAACCCTGTGATTTATATACTGTAGGAATGCAATAAAGGTTGCTAATCAACAGCCCTCAGGAAAAGTGGAAAACCAGCAAA